CCTGACAACTGAGTAACCCGGCGCCTAGTGAGGTCCCAGCGGTGAGGAATTACTCTGTTCAAGTTGAGAAGGAAATCGTGAAGCTTCAACTCACCATATTTCATAACATCTGAATGATACTTGGAGATTGCTTTGCGCTTTGCAACTTGGTCATTTGACTTGTTGACTTTGTGAATCATGAAATCAGCTCTTAAGTACTTTATAAATATATCATTATTGTCTTCATAACAGTCGAAAGTTCTCTGTGCTAGATAAAAACCTCTGTCCTGTTCGGGCACGCCTGTGTCCTGGATAATACCTGAAATATCTGCATTGTTAGTAGAGGAGTTATTGATTATAGTCCAGTTCATCAATTCTGTAATAATTAGAGAATTTGGATTGTTCGTGTTGAGTAAGCCTTTAGTGAAGTCGAGAACTACAGGGAGTCCATAGTAGTCAGCTATGTTAGATGTAGATATGCGATCAAATTTGATGTTAGGTTGAATCTCATTATTGAGTTCAAAACAATCGCCTAGGAAGACGTGGAAAGACAACAACCCCTTCTTCAGTTTGATACCAAACTCTTCGATAACGTGTGATATGTAGTTGTTATACATAGTAATTAGTGAAGGAACATCACAGTAGGACCTGGCATCAACGTAATCCCAGCTGAGAAATGGAAATCCATCTGTCCGTATTGCATATACCATTGGTTCACGCCTTAAGGCAGCTGGCCAATGAGAAGGTAAGTCAGCAGAGCCAGCACTGAGTCTAGCAGGTTTTGATGCATTCATGTGTCCATGTTTGTTGTATCGCAGAAATGTAACATTTTGTATCTTGGCCTTCACTAGTTGTGGATTTGTGCATGACAGTAGAATTCCACTTTTCCACCATTCATCTAGAGAGAGACGATGGTGCATTGGCACTCCATTGATGTAATTCATCCACCCACCCTGTTCTTTCAGTAGCAACATCTCCCTCTGCTTTGCAATGTGTAATTTCGGCCCCCCAGTTCTACCGACGGTCAACCATGCTTGCCAGACTTCCTTCAAGGCGTCCATATTTGCATTAGAAAAGACTAGCTTCCCATCAGTTATTCTGGATATCCTTTCTGCATCACTGTTAAACAACTCTTCTAAGCGTGATTCCAGCATCTTCCAGCATGATTGTGTAAGACACACTGAGTACCATATTTGGACTATCATGTCTGCCATGCTAATGACGTTGTCACAGGTGAACAACAGATAGAGAATTAATACATTCCGGGCTTGTATATGTGGATTGATATCGCTCAGGTAAAAGTCTACCTGGCCACTAAATTCATCAGGAAGAGAGACTGACGTCTTCAATACATATCTAAGGTCCCCAACAGCACAGAGTAGAAGGTTAAACCGGTCTTGTCGGTCATCGCCTCTCCATTCGTTGTGCTTCAGATTCAACAAATCCACAGCTGGTGTGTTTCCCCAATAGAACAACCCCACAGGGGATGGTGGTCCATCTGAGACATTTCTTCGCCAATGTGCCCGTTTCAGCATTTCTGCTATGTTGATAATATCATTCTGTGCAATGCGACATTCATCTCGATGTGACGGCCATGCCATTTTTTGGCATTCACTTCCACAGTACCATTTTTGTAGACATGAAGAGCATTGCTTAACTTTAGAGGATGGCTTCTGACAAGAGTCGCATTTCCGAATTTTCAATGCACCATCACATTCGACCTGTGATATAAAGTTATAAGTAAATTCAGTCCACACAAGTCATTAAATACATTTATGTATTATTGTATGGTATATTACCGACAATAACCGACAATGCCCAAACAGAGAGGAATTGTCCAATATTCGATTGGCTAAAGAATAAGGTCTGTGATTTTAGTGTTCATGCATATGTTTTTTGGATAATGTCAATGGCATTGCATTATTCAATATATCTAATGGACCTCGCAAAAACATTTCTGGTAAATTTGAAACCCCTGAAAAAGGAGTGGTGAGACAATTTTCCTTGCTTAAAATATTTGTGCACACAAATTTTGCAGATTACAGAACTTCGTCAACAGAGGCAAAATAAGTGAAAACAATTATCAATAGGCCGACCAGACAAATTTATTAAGGCATTAAGTGACATATATAAATTACAGTAGGACGATAATATGATAACTGGAATTGTGGGTAAGCAATACTAATTGGCTCCAAATGTGCATAATTTATGAAAATTTATTCAAATATTTAATTGACTGTATTTTCCAAACCATATGAATTTATCTTTTAGGGGAATGTTCAATCCAACTTTATTAACGCATTTATTATCACACAATTAAAAGATAAGGTCATGATCAAACCTCAGATACTCACAAACTATCACTAACTTCAAGGTTAAACACAGATTGTGCTTTACATTGCAAAATATTCAGCTAATATATTCAGATGTGCCAACATAGGCTCCAAAATGTCAAAATTGTTTCAAGGTCAATTCAAGATCAGATTATATATGGTCAATAATTAAACATAGTTTGTTTATTTTAGTCATGTATTTGGAAGGGACAAATTTTTCATTATATATCATGGCAAGATTGTAAGATCAAGGTCAAACTTCTTGTAGTCGCATACTTAGGCGAGGTTTCTCTGAACCCGTCTATTCACGTAGTTCATACCCACCATAGACTCCGGTCAGTCAAAATGACTATTTTGAACTGTAGGCATTAATCAGCGATTCTGCCGGTGAGGAGAGATAGAATCCAGGTCAGGGGAAGCCCCATGACCTCAAGATTCTTTTACCCTTACGTCACGAACCCACGTGACCGAGGCCACCTTGCAGCGCCACAGGTAGCCGTCCATCAGTCTGGTTCCTTTCTCTCCGCCTCGAGGACTTAGACCAACGCAACGGAAAGAGTGGGGAGGTTGGGGGGACCCGGA